TAAAAACCCCCCCCCCACACACACACACACACACACACACACACACAAACACACAAAATCACTTCCCGTAACTGTCCGTGGGAGTTTTTTTCTTCTTCTTTTGTCTTCTTCGACTTAAATTTTCCATTTTATTTTTTCATCTTTAACTAAATCTGATACTTTACTAGTGTACCACCCTCTGCTTAACTTATATTTAGCTTAACGATCCTACTAATACTGTGTAAATCTGTACATCAAGTACAGATAAACAAACCTTATATTGCGCCAAAGAATTACTGCACTGCATTACAGGAACCATTAGGGGGCAGCAGCACCTAATAAATTCCACATAGTTGCAATCATAGATATACACATCTATGGTTGCAATTTTCTGAGACTTCACAGGCAACTGATGTCAAATTCTGATGTCATATCGACTTCTATAAGACGAATGGCATCTGTTTCTTTCCCACATTCCCGCCCAAACGTAGGGTGACCATAGGCCTATACCCTCTTCTACCGGGACATTTTTAAATTGCCTAAAATGTCCGGGTTTTGGCTTTGTTTTCCTACTGACGTGGTAACTACAATCCTTTACATTATATGTATGTACACGTATTTGCATTGCTTTGTCCTTTCTCAACAGAGCCCAACTTCGCGCACCCTACGATTGGTCGATTATGTACAATACCTGTACGCTATTGGTCCAACTACTTTTCAGTCATAACCTTAAGACAGTATGAAAACAGTAAGAAAAAGTCAACCCAGAAATTTTAGGCCATTTAAAAATCCTGACATGTCCGGGGAAAATTGGACGTACTTTACCAAACGTCTTTTCTGGAAGTACATAAGTTTGGTGAGCGCGTACGAAATTCTGCGAAATGGGTGGATTGCTTGCCGGCAGCTACCTACTGTAATTAGGACAGTGACATATTTACGAGTTAATTCCACTCACTTAACTGTAGGGGGCTCTAAAGTCCCAAAATACTCAAAAAAAAATTTAAATAAAAAATAAAAAGACGGTTGCTTTAAGGCTCAAGTTGTTTTCTATAGATAATCTAACATACATTTTCCAAAATAAGTCAAGTCAAATCAAGTCGAGCTTTATTGTCATTCTGTTACATGTGTGGACATATATTGATATAGTGGAACGAAATGTCGTGTCGCAGGACCATGGTGCTACATACTAGTTAAACATATATGAACATACAACAATAGAAGTAAAAGAAAAACAATTATATACCTATACAACAGTTAACCATCTGACTTCACATATACCTTAAATAGTTGACTATACATACACAAACTGAGACTGTACAAAAACTTAAATACTATAAATGAAATTGTGCAAAAGAGATATTTTGTACATGAAATTGTGCAAAAGAGATGATTTGTAGTGCAATGCACAAGTAAACATACATGATCAAACTGAGTCTGTCTGAGAGGGAGCGTTTATAAAAAGTGTCTAGTGTGCATTCAGAGAAAAACATCAAAAAAAGGTGTTTACTTTGTTTTTTTGCAACGCGTGTGTAGGCAGTTGTTCAAAAGTATTCCTTAATTTGTGTCAATGTAATCTGAGCAGCAATATTGCTGTGGTTAAATTGACAAGTCAAGCATTTCATTCTCTTTCTTTTTTTATATTGCTAAAGAATGAGTGATAAACAAGCTATAGTTTTGCATTAAGATGCAGTGAATTATCCCAAATAATTATTTAAGGGAATGTTCAACAAATAGGTGTTGAAGCAAAATCACACACGCACAAAAAAACACTTTTAACAATATATAGCTTCAAAGCAGC